GTGACAGGCAATCATTGTATTTCTAATTGTCACCAATTTTAACAACAATTTAAAATAATTGTAATCTTTTTGAAAAGTGCTAATGACATTTAAAAAATTAAAATACAGTAAGTCAACCTCCTCATCAGTAAACCTTGGGCGTCCATGACCCTGCCGCCGGTTCACTGTTTTAGACACTGTTGGTAGGTACGAACCACTGCAGAGCAGGAACACCCAACAAGACCTATAGTCTGGAAGATGCTCTGACTCAGCCGCCTAGACATCACAGTTTGGTCCTTGTCACTTAGATCCTCAGGCTTGCCCGTTTTCCTTCTCCGAACACATCAACTGCAAGGACTGAAATCACCTGCTGTCTAATATACCCCATACACTGACAGGTGCCATTGTAAGTGGTCATATTGTTGTGGCTGATTGGTGTACACGCAAGTGTAGCTACAGTGGGGCTGTAGTATCCCCTTCTGTACACCAAGCACTTGTATGCACAAGTTAACATGTGCCCGCTATAGACACCAGCACAAGCTTCCTGCAGTGTTAGGCGCTGCACACGTTATGCTTTTGGTGTGGACACAGTGACGTTTATACTTTTGGTCAGAGGTGCTACAGCAGCCGCCACCTTTTGTTAGTGCAGCCTTATTGTATCTAAATTGGACTCGTTACACAAACTGCGTTCACGTACCGATACACAGCAACAGTTAGTATCTGCCCTGAAATCAAACTAGTTCTGAGAGTATTGTCCAGCTTCCAGTTATTATTTTATTTATATCAATAATTTAAGCTAGTAAACCTAATATTTGCAGGACCTGTTCCAATATTTGGGCACAGGCCCTGCCTGCTAGCATCTTACACCCTGCTGGTCACAATTAAATCATTCCTTTAATTAATACTAAAGGAATCAGATAGTATCGGGGCCAAATATAAAAAAACTGGATCAGGACATCCTTACTACTAATCAAAATTTTAATTCATAATCAAAATTTTAAGATATAATAGAGTCTAATACAAATATGTTAAGTACAACTAGATGTTAATGTACGAGTAACTTTGTTTTAAATAACTGATTAATTGATTTTTTTCAGGTGGTGAAACTGACATACAATAAAAGTAACTGTCCAGGAACAGTGCAGTTATATGGAATGCCTTTTAAACCTTTTTTATGTTTCTGCAACTTGCTGTTTGTCTGATTCACCTGTCATACAATTAAGTGTGTGGAGTTTAATCATTTTTTAACTAAACTATTATCAACTGTTTTGAAAAACAGCTACAATGTACAGGTATTGTAGTATTATTTAGGATACATTTTAATGTGCTTTATTATATAATTTCTTACACTTAGTACAACACATTAAACTATTAAAATAACTGAAGCAAGTGGCTTGAGGGATAAAGTGAAAGATAACTGAAGCAAGTGGCCTGATGGACAAAGTGAAAAGTTCAATATTAATAATGTTAGAGGGCCAAATGTGTTGTGAAGTTTCTGATCAAAGTTGTCACGTAAAGTAGAACCTGTCTAAATGTGCAATAGAAGAGAAGTACAGTACACACTCACGATATGGACATCCAGGAGGATGGGATTTGAGGGTAGACAGGCAGGCACTCTACCATACCCTGGTTCGTGTATATGTAGACACCTGCCACACCAGAAACTTTATTCCCATCAAACTGAAGCAGCGTGTTCTCCATAGGGTGATCTGCAGCATAGCTCCAGGCCTGCCCTCCTAGCAGCACTCCTCCTCCAGCTTTCAGAAACGCCACCAGCTCCTTCGGGTCCGCACCCACACTGTAGGCATCTGTCACATATACACCAACCCCTGGATTCTCACTAAAGGCCCCCACAACTGTTGCTTGAAAACTGGATTTACTGAGATTATTAGCCACTGCAGAGACATTTTTATGGACCCCCACAGACAGGTTTTCAGATCCATCTCCTCTCAGCCA